AGCTATGCTATCTCTGGGTACGCTTTTGATCTGATCCAGTCGTTTCTATCAAATCGTGAAATGAATGTCATCCTGAACGGCCACTCGTCTACATCTTTTCCTACTAACACGAGTCTCCCCTGGGGCTTCATCCTTGGTCGTACGCTCTTTTTCATCTTCATTAACGACTTTCAAATGACATCGGCTCTCAACTTGGAATCTACGCTGATGACACTCAAAACCGTAGTTAATTGGGGAAAAAGATGGCTTATCAATGTTAACGCCTCTAAAACTAAACTGTTCTCCATTAATCATCTGGGAGACCCCATTTTCCTTTCCCTCGGCATGGCTGATGCTATCCTCCAAGAAAATGGCTCATTGCGCCTTCTCGGGCTAACGTTCTCAGCTGACATGAGGTTGAAAGATTACATTTAATCCATTACTAGATTAGCTACTAAGAAAGTCGGTTCATTGTGTCGAACAAGACAATTTTTCTCTCCAGAATCTATCTTATATATCTATGTCTACACCTCGTCCATGCTTACAATATTGCTGCCATATATAGTCCAGTGCCCCTGCTATTTACCTTGAGTTCCTTGATAAGATCCAAAGAAGAATCAGCAATATTATTAGTCCTGATCTGGCGAGTCGGCCTCAGTCATTTTCCCACCACAATAAGGTTGCCTCTCTGTGCATTTTTTTATAAATACTTTCATGCTAATTGTTCGGATGAGCTCTACGTCATGGTACGTAGACTGTATGAATTTAGGCGCAATACTAGACTGGCGGCGAGATCATCTCAATTTACAATTGAGCTAGGTAGATGTAGCCGTAACTTCTATGATAACAGTTTCTTATCCCGCACTCCTGGCTTGTGGGACTCCCCCTCGGCCCTATGGTTTCCAACTAACTTTAATCTGCAAAAATTTAAATGCAGTGTCAATCGCTATCTACTGTCCTCCCGATTGCTCTTTTATCTTTCTCCTCATTACTAATGTTTCTGCTCCCAATTCCTCTACATACTGAAACCCCTCATCCTGCTAGCGACTGTACTGCTTAAAGAGATACCAGTTAATACTTAATATATATATATATATATATATATATATATATATATATATATATATATATATAAAAGGACGAAGTTATAGTAGTTCCAACGAGAGAAAAGTGTGTATATTAAAAAGAAGAGAGAAACCACAAACGTTTTTTTTTGTAATGTTGATTTTTTTTTAAATACTATACTTTATTTCCTATAATTTTGCTACACGTGTTTCCGGTCTCGCGACCGTCATCAGGCAAAGGGTGGAGATTTCCACATATTATTAAAAATAATTAATTTTTTCTTTATGTTTTTCGCTGTTAAATATTCTCATTATATATATATATATATATATATATGATACATCCTAATGAACCAGGTACTACCTACCTAGGTTTCACCACATGAGATCATCACTTTTACCCTGATGATCCCATGTGGTGAAACCCAGGTAAATGTACCTAACTCATTAGGATTTATTTATTTTATTTTTCGTCTGCTTAGCGTATTGAGCACTCTTCGTTTTAACTTTTTACTCGCTGGGGTTTTTCTTTGTAACAGAAATTTAAGGTACTGTACAATTTCTTACGCCCTGTTCAGAGGTTTCCGGTGCTTCTTTTTTCCCCATTTTTTCCTCGGGTACCAATTTATTTGAAAATTGGGCTATCCAGGATTTTTCACCCACCGAGTTTAAATAGATTTTCGATCCTAGCTAGAGGCAACAGGGCAAAAGACAGCGAAACAATCTGTCTGTGGATGGCAATATACTTACCCCTGAAAAATTTATTTCGGTTGAGCTCTCTGGGGAGGAAGTGTGGGTTTTATAAACAGTGACTATTACTGCTAATAATGCAAGACTCTTCGGTAAAACAAATCTAGTTCTCTCAGTCACTTTGTGTTTTTCTAAAAATAAATACGCTTAAATTCACTTTCATCCCTGCTGTGCGCCAGCGTCTTAGGGGTAGAATCTCCGATCCTAGCTAGAGGCAACCGGACGTCTAGCCATACTAATGAGCTGTGATACAATAAAAAAAAAAGCCTGTAGATGACAGATATATATATATATATATATATATATATATATATATATATATATATATATACGGAACCGTCATATAGCCTGACGTGCTCTCTACCAGTTTAGGGCTACAGAGGAGCGTCCTGGTTATCAAGGTCGATTTATACTTTTTTAAACTACAATTCTCATGATTTCCGACGAACGATTATATCTGCTTGAAGCGTATCTAAACGTAAAGAAATGTCGCCATACATAAGAATTTTATTTTATTGTTATACGTTATTTATATAAATATTTATTTATACAGTATAACCCGGATATAAGAGAGTTGTCTCTTATATCCGGGTTTCTCTTATATCCGGGTTTCTCTTATATCAGGGTTTGGTCTATTTTATATACATTAACACAGGCTCTAATTTGGGACCAGAGAAAATCTCTCTTATATCAGGGTTTCTCTTATATCCGGGTTTCTTATATCCGGGTTACACTGTATAAAACGTTTAAATGTCGGACTTTGTCCATTTCGCAGTGTGTGACGTCATTTGTTTACGTTTAGATACGCTTCGAGCAGTTATGATCGTTGTAGGGAACTCATGGAGAACTGTAGTTTAAAAAGCAGTAAATTCGACCTTGCTAATCAGTCGCTCCTCTCTAGCAAAACCGGTATAGCGCGCCAGGCTATATGACGTGTTCCGTAGTAGGATACCGGTTCGATTCCTGTCGAAGTATATATATATATATATATATATATATATATATATATATATCAAGAACAGTTTTAGGGGAAAACAGAGTGGAAAAAGTTTTTGTATAACAAAGTGAAAATTTCTTTCGTGTGACGCGTTTCGTCCATTGAGATTCATCGGATTAAGTTTATGTTCACTTTGATGTTGATCCGTCTATACATGCAGACTCAACAAGCCTGACTACAATTTTGATTTAAAGAATACGACTCTAATTAAAAGAGAAAACAATTTACTAAGACGAAAATGTCTAGAATCTGCTTTCATCGCTAGATCATCCACTGTAAATTTTGCGTCCAGGTTTTTACAACGTTTCACGATTCTTGGTAGATCTTCTATTATCACAGTGTGGGACGCTTACTAATAAAAGTGATCGAAATTTAACCAA